GTTTGGAAAATCGTTAAAACAACAAATTAAGATTTATGGTGGGATTTTCATAGTAGCAAACACTATTGAGTAGTACGTAAAATGCTGTCTTGTCAATGCACAAATAACTGCATAACTTCTTATTGTTAAATTCTTTAAATAAATTTATGTAACTTGTTTCTTACAGTCCAGTAACCATCATTTTGTCCAAAGGATTATTATTATTATTATTGTTTTTGTAATTTATTCTTGTACATGTAACATTTGTCCAATAACTGCAATTTTCTGTTTTTTTTATTGTTGCCATTGGAAAATGCTATGTATACTGAAGTTTGGTCCAGTTAAATAAAAAATGTTTGTGTATCGGTGACAATGAACAAACTCACATCCACAATACAAGATATAGATATAACCTTCATTTACCAAACACTAAACTCAGTAAATATCAGAAAGGAGTCTACTGTACTGGAATTAAGCTATTCAGTAATCTTCCTGCCACCATGAAAAGTCTGAATCATGATATAAAGAAGTTTAAGCCAACACTAAAAGTGTATCATTATCTCACTCCTACCCTGTCGAAGAATTTACCTGAACCAGAAATTCCCAGCTAATAGTGGTTATGCTTTCTTGTGTAATTATTTTTGCTGTAATACTGTACTTCAATGTAAATTACTGTCATAACTATGTAATTTATACTTGTATTATAAACAATTATTATATTTGTTCTATGACGTTCCACATTCGTGGTTTCGGTCTGTGAAGGATCAATGGAATGTTAATACATTCTTTTCTGTTCTGCCCACATACAAAATCCATTGACTTGTTTGTATGTGAATGGGCTGCTTAAAATATGACTGGGGAAAACAGAGATGGGATAAAATAAGTGATGAAAATTAAAAATGAATAATATTCTTTGATGAGCAAAACAGATAACAAACCATTAAAATTCTTCTTTTGGTTAATACCAGTATCTATTTGAAAACTCAGGTGCTTCTAATTTTCAAAACTTTATTATGACATTTTATTTAGTATTTTTATGTTTCTACATTGATTTGAAAAAAAAAGTAATTTTTTATTATTATTATTTTTCAGGAGGAGTTCATGGGGTGTTTGATATTGAAGAAATTGTTGACATTCTTAGAAGAGAGAAATTAGGAAACATATTTGTAGCATCACTGCCACCTGAGGCAAAGTATGTTGACTACATCGTCGTAGTCACTGGGAAGTCTAAAAGGCATATGTCTGCTGTGGCAGAATTTGTAAGGAAATTGTACAAAAAGAAACGACATCCTCATGATTTGATACCAAGGATAGAAGGAGAAAATTCTAAAGATTGGATGGCATTAGACTTGGGTAGGTATGAAATTTCTCTGACCAGTCTTTATAAAATAACTGAAGTATAATTTCTGAAATTATGAATCTTAGGAAGATTTATTTTCTAGGACGAGAAAGTACATTTTCTAATTTTCCTCATGGTGACACCAAATCTTGAATTCCTTTTGGGAAAACTTTGGTATTAATATGATGACTTTCGGGTTGTCAGCTGGTGAAGAAACCACCAAAATTTTGAGAACTGTGCTCTTATCCTCAGGGCACTGGTGTGGCTGCGGAAGCAAGCCACGACGATGTGCTTGCCTGAGCCTTGTGTCCCTGACTGCGTGTTAGCCAATGGGGGACTGGTGAGTGGAGTGCAGTACTGGCTCCACTATCCCGAATTCCTGGTTGGATGGCACGTTGGTCAGTGGATCTGAGGCCCGTCTCTATATTGATGTCCAGTTGTGTAGACTTGCTATTGAGGTTTAAATTCGGACATAAACTTTGGTCCACCCATCACTTGTGTTCACTTTCTCGAAGTCCACGCATTTATCACATCACTCTCTCCAATTACAAAAACTGCATATTTCACATGTATTATATAATCTCCTGTATTTATAATGTATAAAACTAAGATGTAATGTGTTTAAACTGTGTTGACATGAAAACTTTATTGCGTCCCAAAATTGTCATCCTGACAGTTCTTAATTCTGACAATGTTGACATGAAAACTTTATTGCGTCCCCAAATTGTCATCCTGACAGTGCTTATGGTATAGTGAGCAACATTATAGGCATTTATTTAGATTATTTTATTAACATGATTTCTTATTTTATTTCAGGCAATATTGCACTGCATATCTTTTCAAAAAATGCAAGATCTCTGTATGATCTAGAATCATTGTGGTCAGTTGGTTCAGAATATGATGTAGCGTACAATAGACCTGATGACCCCTTAATTACCTTACTCCAGAAACATTCATTGTATCTTGATGGTCTTCAGCCTGCAGAAGGTGTATCTGTAAATACAAATGTTTGAAAGTACGCTGAAATTTTCTTTCTTATGTCGTTTCTATACTTGTGGGTCGACTTGCACAGGAGTCTCCAGCTGCCTGCCCATTCTTCCTTTTCATCTACCGTCCTCCATTAATCTTGTATCGTATCTTTTGTTGAAAGCACATACTCGTTCACTGTTGGCTTTGTGGGCCTAATACAATTTCACTGTATCCCTTTTGGCTGTTCCTTCAGAGTTCCTGTCAGGCCTTCTCAACTACCTTGTAGGTGTTGGGGACAAATACTGAAAATCTGTTAAGTAGAATTTAAGTGAATGTAGTTGTAGGCAGTACGAGAATACCACCATCATGGGTCAAGATTGAGGGATAGGTTGCAGGATTTTCCATGTACCTAAGAATGTTGCAGTGTGGTACAGTGCTGCCACCATGCACCCTCCTTACACCATCAGGTCACACAAATTTGCCCATGGAAGTACCCCAAATCTTGGTAGCACTGATTTATCCTCCACAAGCAAAGGACAGGAATTTGGGATGGGGTTTAGACATCACAACACAAGTAGGTACTTTTCTACATGCTCCTGGTTTGGCATAAGCTTGAAAGTACAAAAGTTGCTGTCGGTAACCTCAGTTTAAGATAAGTATGGTGCAGTAAGCTCGAGTGTTATTTTGGAGATGATCCATCATGTGGATTATTTATTTTTAACATAACCAAGGGCGATGGACAGTGTCCAAAATGAGTTAAGTCAAGCTTATTAATGGATTCAGTATGCATTAGTGAATGTTGATTCTGGCCATCAAAACAATTTTTTTCAATCCTCAATTCTGTCATGCTTAGTTACCTAGTTACAGAAATGATCTTCACTGGAATCGAACCTAGGACTGTTTTGGGGCTGTGGCCTTTGTTTCTGTAATCTCCTCATGGCAAACAATTTTGGTCTTTGTGTCATTCTTCTGTTGTGCTTAGTTCCCAAGCTATAGGAATCAAACCTAGGACTGTTTTGGGGCTGTGGAACAACTCTGGTCTTGGCATCGTTCTTCTATCATGCTTAAGTTTCCAAGCTACGGAAGCCTGAAATCTCACCTTGAAATATCTTCCTAGACTAACAGTTCTTCTTTTCATGAAAGCAAGTCTTCTAAAGTAATGTTAATTCCTTCACATCTTAGTCACCGAGGTGGCAATTCTGCATGTTTGATGTTAACACATTCACTTCCAGGGATTCTGCTGCTAAGCTTGCTTCTCAACCCATCCATTTTTATCATTACACAAATGTTACCAAATATTTTGCATTTTTCATAAAAATAAATGAATGGCAATTGATTGCTCAGTCATTCAAGGGATCACAGAAAGGTAGCTGCATGCATCATTTAGGAACAGGAGAAAACTACACTCAAATAACATTCTGAAATACGCATTTTCCGTCTTCTCACCATGTCTTGCTATCCACAGTTGGGTGTGGTAATCTGGACAGAGGACTGGTAAGTATGGCAATGAATGTGTTAAACAAAAGCAAAAAGAAAAAATCCACTAATGGGAAGTTACTTTATCAAAATTGAGTTTTTTTTTAAATTTTTTGTCCTACAGTGGTAATGTTATCTCATAAAAATCATTTAAGCCTATGTCATAGAACAAATGGTTTGTTACACTTTAAAATTTGGGCTGGTATATTGATTGAAGGGCAGGACATTGTATAACTAACCAAAATTCAGCAGCCTGCAAAGCAGTTGGATTTTCTGAAAATGGCAGTAATATAAAATACAAGCAGCTCTATAGGTTTTAGATGTTCATCATCATGTAGAGTGCTGCTGGCGTGATACATTTAATTGCCGGCTGCAACATTATATCTGGTCAGATAACCACTGAAAACATCGGCGTACAGCAACAACTAAATAGCACCGGTAAAATAACCTGAGGTATAATGCTGCTTTGCCGTCTGGCTTGATACTATGGTAGTTCACCTCCCATTCTCATAACCTACTTTCCAGTTTACACGAGTACTTTTACATTTTTTACTTTGTGCAAGGTATAATTGACTATTTTATAAGATTATTATCATGATAATTGCAATCACTTATATTATCAAAATAAGATGTTTTAATCAAAAGTATTTTTGGAAGGTGAGAAACTGAGACATATTTCACTACCTTAACACTAATTTAACCAATCATGTCCATTAAGTTTAATGCTCTTCCTCTCTGATTTCCATTTGTCGACTTCTTCTTTAATCTTAACTATGTCGGCAGCATATGTCCGACAGCAGCCTCCAACGTAAGTTACTCCCAGATTCAACCATTCTTGTACGTAATTCTCAACTGGACAGCACTTGTCACGATTGATCCATCTGTATTATAACATGATTGTTAAAATAATAATTAAGATGTATAAGATGTATGAGATGGAACATAACCTCAAAACTTGGTTAGGATAGCTGGTAATTTTGCCATTCTACAAGAGTACCTACCTCCCAAGTATAAGTGTGTAGCAATAATGCTAAAGAAACCTTCTTTCTGTATATATGTGTGTATTTATTATTTAATGCTAAAGAAACCTTCTTTCTGTATGTATGTGTGTATTTACTATCATCTTAGGCATCAAATAACAATATCTTTACCACCATCTTTTTGTAATTTCATCAGTTGTGTAGTAATCATCATTGAGCATCGTTGTAGATTAGAAACTACTACTGTTTTTACTTTGTGCTGGGTTTTAATTTTTACCAGGGGAATTACTATCCTGTCTTCTGATATATGCATTTTTTTACACTTCAGTTCTTAAATGGCAACCACTGTTATCTGCTATTTGTTTTTCAATTATTTTACAATTTACCAACACCAGTCCTATTGATAAAACACCCACTTATCTATATTATTTTGTCCTCGGTTATCAAATGTGGTGGTAACTGAACAGTAGCCTCAGTGGATTCATTTACATGACTGACAGTTTTCCTGTCCTTTAGAGGAACCGATAAAATAAAGTATCATTTCAACAGTCCTTATTTTGTAATATTAAGAAACTCACCCTCTCTGTAGATCATAGGTTTCTCCACTATTAGGGCAGACAACGAGCGGAATTGGATTGTCTGGCCTGTCTGTATTGATACCCCTAATAAGAGGCGACACATATATTGGGCTCAAACAATTCACACCAACAGCCACAAGCTGAGAAGGATTGATTTCCCAACATCTGCGAGCTACATGTTGGAATTTTTCACCATGGCATGTATGAAACTCATCCTGAAAGCAATTTGCCAACAGATCTATATAGAACAATGCTACAAACACCGGAGCTCATTGTTTCAATTTCTTCTGCTATTCATAACTTCCTTCTCGTCCTGTACCAGTCACAGGCTATCGTAATGGAACTGGTTTGGACTAAGCATCGCAACTCTATAAAGAATGTGAGCCACAGTTCACCGCATTTCCCTAGCGTCTGCAGTTGCAAAACTGAATCCTAAATTTTTTACAACAGTACAAACCTTACATGAGAAAGAAAGCCAAGCTTTCTGTTCAGGAAACTCCTTGAGCAGTTGCACAAGAACTTCACCTTCTAATTGGGCAGGAATTGTCTCAAAAGCAAGGATATCCACGCCAGCTTCCACCAGGGCTTGTATCCGTGGCCGATGCCAGTCTGCCATTTCCTTAGGACTCACGTGCGCAACGTAACTGCCTGTGTACTCGGAACAGTCGTGCAGAGCAGACCCATATGGTCCTATTGCACCTGCTATTAGTACCTTGTGTGCATCTGGGGAAGACAAGAAATATAACAACTTCTTTGTGTGCATCTGGGGAAGACAAGAAATACTATAACAACTTCTGCACAGCCATTCACACTTTAAGTCTTACGTAATGAATATATCAAGTGTTTGAAATTTAGATGATTTTGTCTGCCTGCTTGGTAGTCCTAGGTGTAAATGGGAGCACAATATAATTTGTGTGAGCGAGTGGAATGGACACATCTGGCTCAGGTCCTGTGATGGGCTTTGTGAGCAAGGGTAATTATCCTTCAAATTTTGTAAAAGGCGGGGTAATCTGGCTCAGAATAGCGTCCAGCAGTAGACTCTTTTGAATATGGAAACAATCTTTAGGGTCCCATAAAAGGCAGGGAATTTCTTGACTAGCCGACTGATTGTCAGCCTCTCTAAAAAAGATTTTTCATAGACTTTTAACTTTCCATTTCAGTACCCACATTACAGTGTATGGGATTTGAACATGAGAATAATACTGTCGGCAGAAGTGAGGCCTGTAAAATTCTACAACTAATACAAATTTATGTTGTTGCCTTACTGACATGACAGTTAACTACTACTGGCTATTTTGCTGGTTTCATTCATTTTGTGTTTCTAGTAGCACTCTGTGTGCTTTACGACTCTCTCGCCCCCCACTCTGGACAGACATCCTTCTTTCGTTGTCATTTGAACACAAGTGTGAGACACGCTTTACATTATTAGTAGTACTAAGTTATGGTAATGTAAGACTTTAGGTTCTCACAGCGGTGAGTATGAAGATATCCGTCTTCTGGGTTGTTGCGCTGTGTACACAGCGCAACAACCCAGAAGACGGATATCTTCATACTCACCGCTGTGAGAACCTAAAGTCTTACATTACCATAACTTAGTACTACTAATAATGTAAAGCGTGTCTCACGATAATGGCTTGTCCTTGGTGAAAAATTCCAACTCTTAGAATTTAAAATACATGATTTGCAACAATTTCCCCCCCCCCCTTTTCAAATATCATATTTTACCAAATAACAGAGTTGTCCTGTGACACTAGACTTTGGGAAACTTTGTATGCGCGCACACACGCACACACACTTAATTTTATCCTTAAATAAAACTATTTTTAATTAACAAACCTGCACTGGATCCTGCCTCTGTAGCATAGAGTGAGCAAGCTAATTTTGCCAAATTTACTGCCGTTTTAATCAACTGGTAGCTTGCATCCTTGCTCAGTCCAAGATATTTCATAAATCCTCCAATACTGGCTTGGTACGTATTTGTCATCAACACGTCAACTCCCGCTAGAATGTGGACATTCATAGTAATAGCAGAAAGTGTTTATTATACCTCTAATTCATGTTCCTTTATAGGATGCAACAACATGCGCTTGAGGTTGGACCTAAGTGGATGTAACAGAAGGTTGGAGGAAACTGTATAATGAGGAGCTTGATAACTTGCTCTAACTAACTAACTAGATGGCTTACGGAACCCAAAGGTTCATCACTGAATTAACCAAAGCCCTCCACCGGTCCCTGTCCTGGGCCAACAAAATCCAGTCTCCTTCAACTCCTATCTCCCATAGATCTCGCCTGAGATTTTCCTCCCATCTACGTCTAGGTCTCTCCAGGGGTCTCTTCCCCTCAGGCTTCCCAAATAGTGGACCCAACCAACCAGATGGCTTACCGAACCCGAAGGTTCATCACCGAATTAACCAAAGCCCTCCACCGGTCCCTGTCCTGGGCCAACAAAATCCAGTCTCCTTCAACTCCTATCTCCCATAGATCCCGCCTGAGATTATCCTCCCATCTACGTCTAGGTCTCCCTGATAACTTGCACTATTTATCAATAATTGTTACGATGAACAAATGGAGGAGGATGGGATTCATGGTACATGTACCACACTTGGCAGAGCTGATAAATGCACCTGAAGGGTAGAGACCACTTTGGAAACCTAAACATAGATGGGAGCATACTATTAAAATGGATATTAAACAACTACTATATATGTCAGTATTGACAGGATTCATGTGGCTCAGGACACAGACCAGTGGCAGGCACTTGTAAACATGGTACAGAACTCTGGATTCCATGAGACCAGATGTTTCAATCAGCTGATCTACTAAGCGCTCCTGAAAAAGGACTATGCCCCCAATGGAGTTTGTTATTTATATTATTAGGTGATTTACATTTGGAGATGATGTGTGCTTTTACAAAAATAGTACTTT